GGTAACTTCTTGGTTTAAACCTGTACATAGGTGACTAATAAAGAAAATAGAGAAAAATGAAAATAGGAAAGTGTACCCATTAAAAAAATAAAAGTCCAACCTTTCAAGATAATCACTATTAATGTTGGGGAGGATTTTCTTCCAATAATTTTATATGTAGTTTTTTTTCCCCCTTTAACACTGAACTACAAGTATTTCCCTATATCATCTCATAATTTTGTGTTTTGGTTTGCTTTCTTGGTTTGCTTTTGTTTTGTTTTTGCAGTGCTGGGATGGAATCCAGGGCCTGAAGCACGCTAGGCAAGGACTCTACCACATAGGTGTTCTTTTTCTTTTACCTATTTTTTTGAGACAGGGGTCCCTGAACTCATGGCATGCTCAAGAAACCCCCCTGTTACCACGTGGTGGACCCACAAGATAGATCCCAAATTCTTGCTTAGGGCAAGCAAAGAACTGCTCAATGTACACTCAATGGTGAGAGAAAAGCATCTACATTTATTAAAGGTCACCAACAGAGAAATGGTGCAGGAATGCCAAAAAGGCACACGTCCACCATGCAGATAAATCAGGCTCTTGGGCTCAAGTATGGGAAAGGAAAAGAGAGCGAGAGCAACACTACATCTGCTTTGGCCTGGGGTTATACGCAAAGCCCCCAAGGGGGCATCTGAGCCCAGCTGGGTGGAGGGCAGGGAATTCCTCAGTCCCAACACCCTCTGACTGCTTCTATCTCAGCCTCCAGAGTAGCTCGGACTGCCCCTGGGCTAGGCATGTGGGCCCCTGTGGCTGAAATAAAGAACTTAGCCCACCCTTTTGTAGAATAGGTTAGTAATATTATAGGCAGCTAAATTAGATAGAAATTAATATACAGTTCAAGAGGGACTGGGCTTTCAAGGAAGTCAGCAGAAAAATAGACATCAGAATTGTGGCTGGAGGTGCATCTGAAGACCAAACCTCAAGTTAAAGACCCAATGGCCAGGCCTCCATGCCTACGTAAGGGACAAGCAGTAACTTGGGATCTTACTGTAACTAGCACCACCTGGTCCAGAAGTCTAGATGGGCATCAGTGGCCCAGATGGGCATCTGGACCCATCCCTTCCCCAAAATGCCTTTGTTCTTTTGTATCATCCCCTCCCTAGGTGGCAAAAGCTGGCTGGGGAAGTAGGCACGACCTATTCATTACAAGACCTCAGAGCACAGGCACAGAACAGTGCTCATGCATGCGGACTTCTTGGGTGACCTTGAACAGGTTTTCAATAGAATGACGAAGTCCTGACATCAGCCTGAGGTGTGGGATTCCAGCACTGCCTCAGGACCCATATGTAGAAGCTCTCGGGTTTCCTCAAGATTTGGACAGCATAAAAGACAGAGATGCCAAGAAGAATGTGCTACCCTGGCTTTCTTTAGAGTAGCCCACTCTGCTTTCTCTAGGGTGTCTTTTTACAGCTTTTACTTGGCCCAACCTTGCTCTCCAGAGCGTTTCTCCCTTACTCTCCACTTTTAATTTCTTAAATAAACTTGGCCTCTGCTTTTTGTTCATTTGTTCAATTCTTTGTTCGAGAAGAAAAACCGGAAATCTAACTCCAGAGGAAGAGGGGAGCAATCTAGAACCTGGTGATGTTTAGTTGGCAAGCCACTTTTTAAAAAATAGCTACCCCACTACAGGTACATTATGGCTGTTGTGGTTTCTATCTAGATGTCCCCTCAAAAGCTGCAGACACTCATAGGTGGGACTTAGGTTAGGTTTTTGGATCGGGAGTGTGATACTCATCAGTGGATTCCTGAGTTTACAGCTAAATGTGACATTGGGAGGTGAAGCCTGGTCTGAGAAGGTAGGTTACTGGGGGCATGGCCTTGATAGGCATCTCCCCCACCCTTGATATCTCGGTCTCTCTCTGCTTCCTG